CCAGTACAGGTATATAAAACTATTATGCACATATATAGGCCTATATATATACTGTCTCTTATACACATCTAGATGTATACTTCATCACAGCAAACAAACTTAAATAATCTTGGACAATCATTGTCAAAGCAAAATACATTTGATTATTGGTTTGATGAGCTTCGAGAAACTGCACCGCACTGAATTTTGCTATGTTTACTGAAAGGCGACGTTCAGTAAGATCGTGAGAATTTGCCCGAGGTTTGTCCCCATAAGAGGCACAACTAACTCCGAGATACTTGTCTGGAATCTTATCGAAAGGGCCTAGCCAGATGTGTATAAGAGACAGTATATATATATATATATATATATGCCCTATATTTAGGCCTACATATATGCCATTTGCCATTTTACTTTTAAACGAATTTTGATTCTCTAATTTATTCTTTTGTATTTGCGATGATTCATTATTATTTCTATGTAAATATTGGATAAAATGTTTTTTCTTTTAAATATTTATATCTGTTGTATTCAGTGTGGTTCTGTAGACAGGGCATTCGATAATAACATTACTTGACGACACATCTTTAAATTTTCTTATCCTTGACAGACCTTGCTAAACTACTCGTTTTGTATTTGTCGCAACATTGAAAGCAAAATAAATATGATGATTATGACGACGACTACAATGAAGATACTAATAATGCTAATAATGAATATTAACAGTAATGCATATGATTGTTCATAATATTACCATAGGCAGATGAATTTCGTTTTCTCCTTAAAGGATTTTCTGTTTTATACCACATAATCGGTAATATTAAAAATACATGCAAATTTATGTGTTATTGATAATGAAAGGTTACTAATTTCAAAACTCAAAATTTTAAAATTCAGCAATTACTAACGAGCCGGCGCTAAGGATATCCCATCGATAGAGTATTAAAAACCTTTGTCTTTAGTTAAGTTTACCTGGTGAGATTCCCCTCACGCGCTGATCAGCCTGTCGTGTAACTACCATTACACACGACAAGATCCTTAACGACAAATTGACGATGTACCATTCATTTCAGCTCAAACGATGTAGTTTAATCTGCGATATAACGTTGTTCTATACATATTTATTGCACGATAAAATAGCGCGTTTACTGGTTATAATAGAGAAATTGTCGGCGAATCAAAACTCGATAAACGAATAAGATTAAAGTAGACACGTTCATTAATACGCATTAATCGCTGTCGACACATTAGCTCGCTCTATTGTCGATTTACAAATCGTGTTCAATTTGTTTTCGTTCGTTTAGCGAATTTCAAAAAAAAACTTTTTAAAGGGATAGTTAATTCATTCTAAAAGAAAAAATATACTAGGTAGTATTGGTCGAGTTGGTATAACTAAGGTAAGTAAGCATCTACTTTAACGGAATTATTTTAGTCCTTCCCGCTTAGGCCTACATGATGATAAATGTTTGTTCAATTACCGTATATATATATATAATATTAGACCTTAGATTCTGAAGTAAATATATGTGGCTTGCCAAGCGAGATTTAGAGCTTAATTAATGTTTTATATTTATATTTATTTCATTCATAAATGCTGACTTAAAGGGATCGTTGAACATAAAACAATTATCAGGACAGCAAGGAATATGTGTACGAAATCATGAATACACAAACAAAAACAGGTTATAGGACATACAGTCTGGGTCTGTGTATCTCGTGTATTACCCAAGTTATCCGGTATTGCTTATTGTAGGCCTCATATTTTACCTCAAGTGTATTTAAAGAGAAGAGAATTGTTATTGTTGTCGTTTAAATGGTATGACAAAGTGAAAAATGAAGATCTACACAGTGGCTAAACAAAAGAAATGGAGTCGAAAAATCAAACAGAGACGGCTTAACTGGTATACGGACACACCTCATTCGGTTACCAGATGACACACCATCGAAAATAACCTTAAAAGAAAATGAAAACAAATAACAAGAAACACATGGATTAACAACATCACTTGAAAGACACCCTGCCCATGACAGGAAACTGTTGGGAAAAGTAGAGAGCGCGATGTCGAAAGACGCGGAGCACAAATGATGATGATGATGTTGTTCTTGTTTTATATTGTTATTGTTATAGTTATTTGTATTGTTATTTTTGTTGTTGTGCTGTTGTTGTTATTATTAATTTAAAAAAATAAATGGGAGGGCCCACACTAAGCCACTAAGATAAAGTGACCAGGCTAGAGGATTGAGTATCCACGCCATTAATTGTGTGTCCACGATGAATATATACGATTAAGTGTCCGTACAAAAAAAAAACAAAAACATAAACCACGCTATACTATATTGAATGAAAATATCGAGTGCTCACATTAAATAAAAAGTACCACACCATTTAAGTGCCTACGATATGGATTGAGTGTGGACTGGGTACGTTAAATAGAATATGCCTAATGGTACATCACTGCTGTTGTTAAAGTAATAATGTATGAATAATTTTAATTGCTGGCATGTGATATGAATACCGGTACCACTTCTTAAAGTTTAATTTTAAGTTTAGTGTCTTAAGTCAAGTTCGGGTTAATATGCCTAAGTAGGTTTTTTTTTATTTTTTATCGTGGCCTATCTTATGGTCCTAAGCCTATAAATGGCATAGTGGTATATTATTTTTATCATTTTTACTTAACTTTTTCTATACTTGTTTTGATTTTGTTTATGTCGTTACCAGCATAATCAGTAATTCCGGCACTTGCATTAGTTTGATGATTATGACAATTATGATATAATGGCAATAATGTTTAATGGTACTAATAAGAATCATGATAGTGATGATGATTAATTTGATATTGATAATGATGATGATGATATGATGAACATGAGGTGGAGGATGATGATGATAATGATTGTGATGAGGAGGGTGGTGATATAGGCCTAATGATTTGACTGTGGCATGGTACCTGCAGTAGGTTAAAAACTTAATTCCTCACCATCACCATCATCAGCGTCATCGTCGTTATTATTATTATTATTATTATTATTATTATTATTATTATTATTATTATTATTATTATTATTATTACTTTTAGGCCTTACTGGTTTTTTTCCGTTATATAAATATTATAAAACTTTACTTGTGTTGACGATCGTTGGTATGGTAAGCGTATATGTGTCAAATTCGAATTCACTTTCATTCTTTGGCGACAAGTGGAAGCAGTTGCGCACAAAATCGATAAAACCGTGATTTTTGGAAATGTTAAATACTGGTATACTTCATCACAGCAAACAAACTTAAATAATCTTGGACAATCATTGTCAAAGCAAAATACATTTGATTATTGGTTTGATGAGCTTCGAGAAACTGCACCGCACTGAATTTTGCTATGTTTACTGAAAGGCGACGTTCAGTAAGATCGTGAGAATTTGCCCGAGGTTTGTCCCCATAAGAGGCACAACTAACTCCGAGATACTTGTCTGGAATCTTATCGAAAGGGCCTAGCCTCTTGGGAGTGGCTCTTGTAACTGTTTCTACTATGGCTTATGGTATCGCCAAGTATCTTGACTTTCGCCATACTAGAATACAGTATGGTCTTAAACATACATATCAGTAAAACCTGGAACCCTAAAAGTAATCAACGTCGAATTGCACATTTAAATACATAAAATCATTCTAACTTTCAATAAAACACGGATAATTCAGTTTCTTAATAACATGGCCGATAATAAAGTTGAGACTTTTCGTAGCAAAAAGGCACGTAAACCAACAGAAACTGAATTGTTTTCTGTCTCATTAGAAGGTGAAATCTTGTGATCTTATGGCTCTATTTATTCTTTTAAGTAATTAAATATTTTCCCTAAGTTCAACTATATATTTATAATTTGTAATAGGCCTACACCACGGGCAGAAATTACGAGAATGTTGATGTATAGGCCTACGTTATGGTTATATTTCATTGTCTTCCCATTTATTATGTCTACATTTTCTTTTAATTGTTGTATTTTTTATATGCTTACACTCTCCACAACTACACCACTATACAAACGCACTCACTTCCCGAGATCAGCTTTCCAGCTGTTGTTATATAGATGACACCTTAACTAATAAAAAAAAAAACCAAAAAAAAACTTGTCGAACAAATATCTATTTTTAATTTCATGTTTACCTATTTTATTACTTATAATAGTAGGCCTATGGAAAATTAAATATTAATAATAGGTATGTGTAGGTCGTATGTTCTAAAGTTAGCCTTTCATCACCGTACGACTCTGCCTTGAGGCTACAGGCTCATAAAGCTTAAAACAATCCAGTGTGCACTGCCCTCTGTAGATAACATTACGAATACAGAAACAACTGTATATTAAATTTACTGATAGTTAGGCCGGCCTTTATTGATCAACGCTGAATATTTGCAAGAGGATGGCCAAATGTATTGATTTCATTACAGAATTATATATAAAATAAGGCATAGGCCTAAGCTCTTGCAATGGACTTAAACCCCGTCCTTTGGATATTCTTGCTAATGTCCAACAAACGACGGCGTAAACAGGCGCGCATCCATCACTCTTCTGATTGGTCAGTTAAGTTTAATCGACATTCTGTAAAGGTTTATTCATCTTTGTCTCAAATACACGCTAAATTTGCGTTGAATTATTAGTATACGTTATTTGTTCACTCTCAAACAGTAATCTTACCCTCTTTACCGCTTACTCTGTATTTCAACTGATATTCAACTATCGTTTCCAAAAGTCTTGTTTGTTTGGCAGCTTGTATGTTAATACACACATTTATATATGTATATATACTGCTTTAGAGACAAAGAGATACTTCCTCTCTTCATATTGATAATAATTAAAGTGTGTATATACCGTAATTGATTAGTACTGTATATGCTTTGTATCAATCGAGCCGCGACTGTTGAGGACAGAGTTTACCTGAATATAATCCCATTGGCCTAAGTGCTGGTCACGTGATGTTATGATTTCGACTACTTGAGTGAAGGATGTCCCGTAGTTGTCAGATGGAAATAATTTTTTATCGAGAAATGACGATGCAAAGAGGTATTTTTGACAGCTCGCAGATTTACAGTGAATACTATAGCAACGGTAGCTTTGGTTTCAGTAATTCACAGTTTTATTATGATCAAATTAACGCAAACAGTTATCAAAATGTCCAGGCAGACGATTCACCGGTTGGCGCTTCAAACTTTAACGGACAAGAATCGCAGCAGACGACTCCAACAACATGTGGGAACGACCAAGCCCTGACATCTAAAAATTTATCAATCTTGCCAAAAACAATTTATCCATGGATGGTAGAATCGCGCCAAAATTCAAAGCAGAAACCGACAGAACCCGAGCCCCCTGGTAAGTGTTTTCGGTTAAAAAAAATTCTTTACATATTCTACTCAACTGTACTTTATTCAAAGGAAACTATGTAACATATTTTGAATGAAAATTTGGACGCGATGTAAAAGGACCTGCCTGATGCGGTTAACCGTCTGGTTTGGTATTTGCGCGTATACTAATTAGTAGGATGATGAATGATCTGGGAAACCATCGTTAGCCATGAGCAGCGAACAGTTTTATTTTACACTTTTTTAAGCCACGGAGGTATATATTGTTATACCTCCATTCTTGGACTTACAAACTATCCTAACTTATGATTACATTTCAGAATCGTACAATAAATTTGGAATGACATACAACACGACGAAGATCAACAAAACATTTATAACTCTGTGTCATTCTCATTATCCCTTATTAAAGTAGATCGAAACTATTACTAATTATCGCCTTTATCGTATTTATTCAATTTACTCCTTCCATGATGTTCAATTCTAGTTAAGTATTAGGCCTAACATTATTTTGATGCTTTTTGGACTAATATTCCCATCGTTGCAAAGTGATATTTGTCGAGCAGACTTTCCTCTAGGCTACTCGACCATGCTCAACAATCCTTGCTGCATCTGTAAAACTCGTTAAAACTGAATTTCTTTATCATTTTAACGAGTAGTTATTTCTCCATAGAATTAACACAATGTTGGTTAATAATCAACCAGTGAAATACAGGTTACCTGTATATTAAATTCCTGTCATGGTGTCTCCCTTCAAGTTAGAGATTACTAGCATATATTGTTTATAATTATATTCATAGAATGGAATGGAATGAACCATGTTTTTAGTAACAATAATTATCTTAATAGATTTTAATTAACAATAGGCCTAACAGTTTATTATAGTCGATGTTCGATAATAAAATTAATATCGTATGTTTCCATTTTAAAGAGATTTAGTTACTATCATGTTATTTATTTTTAAGTACTCTAGGCCTGCCGCATCTTATCGTACCAGTACTCTGTTCTTTGATTAATATTTATATATGTACTAAAACCTAGTTTTAAAAGTGGAATCTGTTGATTTTATGTTTGATATGCCTACTACACAATAGTGCTAGGCCTACTACCATCTGTATTGTTGTTTTTTATCAACCTGACTAAAGAAGGTCCTGGCATTTCTCTTTACCATCCCATCTGGTTCGTTCCGCTGCACCCTTTTATTTTACATTCCTTTGTCATTTTCTCTGCTGCTATTGACTTTTACAATAATCTATACTGTATTTGTAAATCCACCCTATTCTAGCTTACTAATAATGTATTGCTTTCATTAATTAAGTGATAGGCCTATGAATGTTATAGAATTTGTTAACACAAATTCTAGTAACAATTGTGGTTTTTAACATTGAGAGCAATAATTCAAAACCAGTACTGAAATTAATATGTACAGTACAAACAATATAATAATGTTAATTTAATAAATCTATCTAATTTTCTTAAGATCTACAACTGTTTCGTCCATTTTATTTAGTATTTAAAAACAACTCTGGTTTAAGAATTTATGGTCACTGTAACACACCTTGATCGCATCGCACCACCCTTCCAGAGGATTTCAATCGCGACTGGATATTAGGCCTAAGCCTAGATTTTGGCCTTGGTTGCGCCAGATTAACTCCTAAACTTGACCTGATACGGTTAAGACAGGGCAGTAACAAAAAATTCTTGTCTTTAGAACCATTGGTATCAATATTAATATTTGAAGTTATATTCCACATTATGTAAAATAAAAGAACAGATTCTGAAATTGTTAAGGCAGATATAACAACTCATTGTCTTAACATACAGTAGACTATTTTACATTATGGGCCTACATTGGCATAATTCTCTATGAATGCGTGGCAAAACCCCTCGTAATGCCAGATTTAGCAAACTGCTGAGAACTGTAGAAACCCATAACCTTTTATTGGACGCTTTAGGCTAGGAGATGGTGATGATCATGATGAAAGGCCAAGTATGTTCCCCGAACAAACGCATTTCTTCCCGCTGTGTTTCCATCAGAGCTCGACAAGTTTAAATCCTAGCTCTATAACCACTTAAGTTTTATTTTTGCTCCTCTAGTATAGTAATAGGAACTCAAGCCTGTGGGATTTTAATATGTTGTTTTTGTTGTTGTTGTTTTTTTTTTTTTATAGAACAGTGCTATAAACAAAATTAAAAAACTGAAATACACTGCATAGTTTTGGCCTTGGCATCATTCTTACTCACGGATGACCATTTCATTGATAGTTGGCTATTTGGTAAATATAATATTAAAACATGGCTAATGGGTCTCTCCAAAATTAGGACACCAATTAACTAGGTAGCCCTAATTAATATGCTATAACAATAATGGGCATATTATTACTAGGATTAATAGGGGTATACATGGCTAATGGGTCTCTCCAAAATTAGGACACCAATTAACTAGGTAGCCCTAATTAATATGCTATAACAATAATGGGCAATTATTACTAGGATTAATAGGGGTATACTCATTCCTACTAATAACATTACTTATAATAAGTAAGGCCTACTAATACTATTATATAACTATCATCACATTGCCTGATAGCTAAACTTTAGCAGATAATTAATATGATAAAATTTAATATGATAAATAATCAACTTTTAATTAACATACGGTTATCCTTCCACATAAACATATATATATATATATATACTGTCTCTTATACACATCTAGATGTGTATAAGAGACATATTGATACAAAAACAAATGAATGTATTTGTGTAGCTATTTTATATGAAGCATATAGTACCGTAGCAAATACGTTTGTTGATGCTGAGGTAAGCAATACTATAGTTACATGAAACAAGTATCAACGTCCTCTAAGCAAAGGTATAAGGCATGCTGTCTGAAAAATTAAAAAATATATAATTCAATATTTTTAATAAAGATAGATAGCGCTCTTTTAAATAAACGTAGGCCTAATAGTTGTAACTGGCACTAGTAATATTTAATTCAGGTTAGACGAAAAAAAAACGATGAGTTTTGAATTATTCATCCTAATATTCGACCATATTTCTACCACTTCTGTTAAACTCCTGTTTAAGGTGTCCTTAGGAGGTCGGCTTTCCCCACCAGAGCCAGGTTTAGAAACGAATCTGAGCTTTGGAAGGGACTTCCGCAGCATCGATCAATCGAAAAATGCGCATTCACCTCAAGAATGTATAGGCCTACCATATTGCTAGTTAAAGTACCGGTACCTCATTAAATTTCAATTGAAAAAGGAGAAGAAACTATTTAATTCGTCAACTACAAAGGTATAATATCGTAACTATATTCTTCGAATAGTCCAATGAATATTATATATATATTATATTATATTATATTATATTATATTATATTATATATATATTCCTCGCCACTGAGGAAGGACTAGTGTTGTCCGAAAGCTCTGGTTCTATTTCTGGCTGTTTACTTACGTTTACTTTTTAGCTGTTGCTTATCATTTTTGTATCTCTACTGAGATCCAGCCATTGTTT